ATACATAGCCCCTAATATGACCCCTTTTATAGACTGCTAATTGTGGGGGACAGGACCCACGAGGTACTTCATCTCTGTTCAAGCAAGCTGAACACTCGTGGAGAACATGAATAGGTAGGCAAAGTTAGCTCTTGGAGGAGGGGATCCCTCTACAAACCCTGAACTTGCGATCTTAAACTGTGTACCTATAAATCCCAAACCATAGCCGTCAGCGCCGAACTTATTGGACTCCAGGACCGATGCAAGTGCTCGGGAGAAAAGTTGAAGTGCAAAGCGGTCCCTAAAGGTACCCCTACTTGGCGAAACTTTCAAAATTCCTGTTCAGGAGGGTTCTATGCAGCATCTCCCCGACCTGGCTTGAAGTTGATTGTACTCAACACGGCGGCTGAGACAGTTGTTAAGGTCTAGGATGTCAGGTTTGGGTTTCTGCCTTCAGGGTCTAACCCGAAATCCTGAACTCTAAGCAACATTCAGGTCAGTGCAAATTTGGATGGTTTTGGAATGCTTGTGGAAAGCCTAGGGCTACCTGCCTTTTGGGGCCTCAGGGTGTAAGCCTTCAGCGTTCAGGATATTCCGTGAGGCCTTCAGGCCATGGCATTGTCGACGGTTGACGTGTATGCTTTTAGGCGTATGAGTATGAGTGTCTAGGGTTGCCTCGCGCTCTAGCGCTGATATGCCCTGGCCATGTGATGTTACGAAGTGGTTAGGGCTCAGGGCTTGCGACGTAACAATGCCAACACATCAGTGTCGCAGCCATTGTGGTATTGATGCCTCTGTCCTCTCTAGCCTTAAGGGTCCAGGGACCCAAATNNGTATTTGGGCCCTAAAAAACCCTATTATTTGGGTCCCTGGACCCTTAGGGCTAGGCTGTTTGAGGGCTCTGAGACCCAAAAATCCTAGGGGCTGGGGGTTCGAGCATGTCCCACCGCGAGAACTAATCTTTGGCAAGAGGGTACAGTTCCGACTTGGAAACTTGCAGAAAACCGCGATGCAGTTGGCCCTAAACCCTAAACCCCTATACTGTATCGCACTGTACAGTATCTTCTGCTCTTATCTTGGATGTTGAGGAAGCCTTGAACTCTGAAGTGCGGACTTTTTTGGTGGGCAAACATCCATATACTTTAGGTGGACCCCCCACCCTGTAATAGTGACTATAATAATTAATAAGGATCATATTAGGGTCCTCTTATATTCCTCTTATACCACTATTACAGGGTGGGGGGTCCTCCTACCATACACTTCTTAGCTAAAGCACGGGACACGAACAGTTAGAGGCAGCTTTGGGCAAGTAAGCCCTGCGGATCTACCTTTGTCCCAACCTAGCCCTATCCACGCAAGCCGACATGGGGTTCGATGTTTGCGAATGCACGCTCCAACCGACCACCAAGGTGGCGTGGAGTCAGAAAGTTCTTGATTGGGGGGGCGCCCCTAAGCGCCATGTGCACCATCATAAGGAGCCTGGATAGAAGGCGTAAACATTTAGAGCGTTGTTGGGGTACAGCAAAGGATGTTACAGGTAGCCCATACCATTTGAATTCAGCATGGTGCTACTTTAATCCCAGAACTTGCTTGTTCCGGAGCTTCGGATGTAATAGGTAAAAGCTAAAAGCTAAAAGCTCCGCCAAGCGTGTTCAAAGTTGGGGATGAGTGGTTCACATTAATGGTTGAAGGATGCAAGCATTGTTGACTGGGTGCCTAAGATCCTCGTAGATGGACGATCTAGTAATGTGGGGTTGTGAGTGGGGTCCGGGTTTGACGAAATCTTGGCTATACCCTTCCAATATGGACCGACTGATGAACATCCCCCATGTAATATTCATGAATACTCCGCATATTGTATAAGGATACTCTCTTTTTTTTTGGGGGTGGGGAGTGCAATTTTTATCAGGAGGTCAATGATTTGGGGCAGGGGATCAAAAGAGGGATTTGCGCTGTGCAGCGGTTTCGTGCTTCGTGACGAAAGCGTTAAAGCAGTTACGACCTACAGTTTGGAGTTGAGGGTTGGACTTAGGGTTCGCAGGTGTGATGCGCAAAGCGATGCCTAGGCTCAGAAATTCTGATGTTTGAGCCTTGCATGTTTGGGGGCAGCGTCAGGACGCTTCCGAAGCGAGCCTCTACCAAGGGCCAGATGCTCCACTGCCAGGTTCTTTTGGCTTCTTCTGCAGACTTGGGTTCGGGTTGGGGTTTATGTGATGGTTTCCCAAAATTAGGGGTACCCTTTTTGGGGGTCCCTATGATTATAGTATTTGGGGGTTTATATGGGGGTCCCCCTATTTTGGGAAACTACCATGTAATTTGAGGCTTGAATATGTTGCTCAAGCATGCCTGGCCTGTGAGGTGAGGCCAGAGGTACATTAGAGTCCTCCTTCTGCGTGTTGTACACGCACCTAGCCTAACCTCTCCCATTTCTTTCATGGGACCCCGAAAGGTGAATTCTGCACAAGGGATGAGCGCACAGCTTCATAGGCAGCATAGCAGCTCTAAGGTAAAGGAGAGACCAGCTCATGCTTACCTAGAGTAACCTAGACCCTCAAAAAGATAAAGATACCAGAATACTAGGTACACAATCTATTTTGTTAGGTATATCGGTTGCTCTAGGTAGGGGGTTCTTTTTCAGGGCTTCCGGTTGAACAGTTCAGGCATTAGGAACCTGCCAGTACAACCTCAATCTGCGCCCTTCCAAAAAGTGCCGTCATGAGTCTACGTCTACTCGGTGCCGAAAGCTCGACCCCAGAGTCAAGATCTAAGCACGTTGAAGATCAATGTGGTAGCGGTACTGCGAGTGTCGTTCAAGGCATAATGGCAGAGTTTGAGAGGTTCATCTTTTCTTGCGCATCAGCAGTCTCAAGTAAATTGTGTTGGGTTTCCGGAGCACGGCTGTCCCCTGCGTCACGACGCAAGTTGCCAGAGCACAGTGAGATTTCGCAAAAGGATTCAGAAATCCAGAAGAACCTACTTGTCAGGCTGTGGACTCTGAAAACGCATGAACACGCAATTCAAGCTCCCAACCCTCAGCCCGTAGCTTAGGATGGAGGGCCTGTAGGGCCCTCAACCCTCAAAAACTATTGTAGATCACAAAACCCCTGCATGAAGCTAGTATACTATTATAGAGTAATAGTTCCAAAGGTTTGCAATACCTGGCAGGGTCTGTAGTGTCCTTCTTGGAGGGCAAGGGGTGGCCTCAATTAAGGCCTCTGGTCTTACCTTCATGTGTTTTTCATTACCCCCAACTTTCGGGGGTTACCTATACAGGGCTATTGGGAAGTTTAGGGAAAGGCTAAACAGCAGCCGCGTGCGCACACTGAGGTTCAGACACAAGCGGGTGGCACTGGGATGAGGATGTGGCAAGCAAGAAGCTCCTTGACCGACGAGTATAGGGTCAAAGCTCAACTGTGGCGATGTGGTTGCTCTTTTGCTAGAAAAAGAAGGACTTAATTGTTGCCCGGAAGATCGAAGCTCCTTTGCCCCCTGGTGGCAGACATGTGCTTCATTAAACTAGGGGGCACAAGAAACCACCCTAAACCCTTCTGCCTCACCCTGAGAACGAAGGCCCCCAGGCCAGCACCCTCTAAACCCCCACTCCCGCCTCGGCCCCCAAGCCCAAAACCATCAACCCAAAGCCAACAGGCCAAGAATGACTGCAGCCCCTAAACCCAAGGCATACTGCAGGATCATCCTATATCCTCCTTATGCCCTGCTCCTTGGGTAAGGTACATACAATTTGCCTCTCCTCCAAGGATCTTCGTCAGCTGTGACGCCCGTCCCGCGGATCCCTTCGGTCAGCTTTCCTGGGCAAGGACTGAGCTGGAAGCCGCCCGTAGCTGGGCCACGTCTTGGGCTGAAGTTCTGGGAATGTAAACATGAGAATGACGTGAACACCCGACATGAAGTTTAGCAGTGGCTTTTCAAGTGGTGACGGTCACAATAAGAGCAGCTGCGGCAGTAGCGGTGGCGGATGATGCTGCTGCTGCTGCTGCTGCTGCTGCTGCTCCTGCTCCTGCTCCTGCTCCTGATCCTGCTGCTGCTCCTGCTGCTGCTCCAGCTGGTGCCCGTGCTGGTGAGGTATGGGCGCCCTTGGCTGCAGCAGTGTACAGTAGCTACAGAAGCCGCGTGAATGGAACAAGCAACAGGCGGCAGCGTTTTCAACACCAAGAGTCACGGTCGATGCATAGCATTCGCAGCATGAATATCTGTGAGGACACGGGTAAAAGATGCCGAAGGTTTGCATGCTCGAGGAGTTCGTACTGGAATTAGCGTCCCCAAATTCCCTTCGTCAGCTAAGGTAATGCTGGCGAACGCGTCATTGTGGCAGGCCATGTTCCACCTGGCAACAAGGTGGCGTGCATGGAGTTGACTAGTGGTACAGGAGCACTTGCAGGATAGCAGTGGCTTTGCTATTGGGATCCTTGAGGGATCACGGCTATCCCTTAGGGTTCAAGTATCCAATAATTGGGTACTTGGGGCTTGGGCAACGGTAATTGTAGTACAGGTTTTGGGTAGGTATATAGATATTAGGTACTTGGACCCTTAGGGTATATGCTTCAGGACTCAACCTTAGGAAATGCCTTCAGAGACGCGGAGCCAGCCCCAAAGTCGTATCGCCTGTCCCTGATAGGGGCTAAGGCTAAAGAGTCCCCAACGACAATCAAAACATGATGAACTCGTCGTCAATGTTACACACAGTTACTCCATATTAAGTGCCTTCCTCCCCCAGAGAGACCACCAGTACCTTCCATAAGTCACATGCTTAATGCAGGCTCGCCCATAAACATACGAGATCCTTCCAAAGAGCCACGCAAGCCATGACGGCTAAATACAAGCAGCTGCTGGCTACAAGAAACCCAACGACGAGATTGTAAGTCTTCTTTCTATATTGCTGGTACATGGTGGTGAGGATCACGCCGTTTATTGCATGCCCTCTGGTTTGTGAGGCAGTTTAGGACAGGTGGGAGACAACAACTTTTGCAAGAAGCACTTGGACGACTTTCAGCGGCTTACGCAAGACTTCGCCGAGATCATCGAGGCAATGAGTGCTTGTTGATGAGGGTATCATGGTGTCGGTCGGGGTATGCACAGTTGAGGCTGTGTGGGTGTCAAGGGCTTCGGCTTCAGCAGTCAAGGCTGAAGCCTCAACCCTAAGAAAGTGCTGGTAGCCGCGCAGGCTTGCCTGACATGATTTGGACCGTTCGTAGTTTTCCCCCGACTTCAGAACTAGCCTTGAGCACCATAACTGTATTGTACAATCCGTCCAGCGCAGCCCGCAGTATTCACGCGTGATGTTCTCAAGACTTCCACGCTGAAGTGTATTCAAGATTGGGGCTCCTGCATGAGGGCTATGGGAGTAATGGAGCCGGAAGATGTGGCAAAGGCAGTACACAAGTTGCGCCAAGACGTGGCCCCAAATTGTATGCGCACAATTCTGCCAGCATGGCCCGCAGCCTTTCCCAGAGGGTCCAAGTACCCAATAATTTGGTACTTGGGTTTTGGGTAATAGTAATTCTGGTACAGGTTTTGGGTAGGCATATACACATTAGGTACTTGGACCCTTAGGGAGTGTCCATAAGAACTGTACTCGGGCTGACGTATTGGTCGCAGTAGGTTTCTCTGAACACGTCAATGCGTTTTTTTAGGGGATCCTGTTATCATATGTCCCGTTGCTTATGTCCCCCCCATTCGAGAAACAATTTTTTTTACGCGTAGCACCAGGTTCAGCTGTACGGAGATCACTCCAATGACGAGCCCTAGTTGCAATGAATATTTCCGGTCCCAGGGTAGGGGTTGAGCTTTAAACCTTTACGACTTGAGGTTTGTGGTCATGATTTGGGATCTAAGGCGTAGGGACTTGCAGTAAGCTTGGGGCTTTGGAAAGAGGATGCCAGACATGATCCCGGCATCTTTTCAGTGGATGTTTTGTGGCTTGCATCACCCCAAGGATCTATGTATGTACCATTCAATTATGTTTGTTTGGGGCCCAATGTAGCTATCACTTATACTGGGCAATTCAAAGCAACCTCACCCTAAATCGTGCTTTATATAGACTTGGAGCCCCAGGGATTTTGACTTGGAAATCAGTAGATTGACTGCGGGTATCCGGAGTTTACTTGGTCACTCCGTCAAGCCCACAGTGTCGTCCAAGTTGTTTCCGGCGTTGATAACCCTAAACCCCTAGACCCTCAACCGCGGCCCTGCCCAAGTGACTTGCTAGATTCAAGGACCTTGGGCTCATATTCAAAGCCTTTAAGGCCCAATGACGGTGTTATCTATGTAGACCTAGAGGTCGAGGGAAAGGCCAGAAGGAACTTGAACCCGGCTAAATCGAATAGTGTCAACAGACGGCCCTATTATACTAAATTCTACCCTTGATAGCCCTGAAGCTGAGCAAGTTAAGAGTACCAATCCTCCAGTTTTTTCAAGATGCCCGAGGCAGACCCTTAAAGGGATTATATATAATAATATAGGAATAATGGAAAAGAAAATGGAAACTGAGGGATTATCGGGATTACATATTTTTTCTGCACATGCGTCGACACTTTAAATGAGCAAGCAGGCACCTTCGAAAGGCGCACGCCAAAGGGCATGCAAAAAAAGAGCATTTAAAGAAGGTAGCTCCCACTCTTGGAGGCATTTGTAGATGGTTTATAGGACTTAGGGAGCCTTATCCGAACTGCTACACGGTTTCCTACATCCCAAAGTTCGAATCCTCAGCCCATCTACTTTCCTGGTTTTCCATAGAGTGTGGCCATATAGTCAACCCTAAACCTGAACCCTAAACCTTCAACATATAGTGTAGCCCAAGCCCTCAAACCTCAACCCTGCCTCGTGCAGTTTCTCACTGTTGTCCAAGGAGTTCCGCATGGTGTGGACAGAGGACCACTGTCTTGGCAAGAACACTGGAACAAAGCATGTTCTAGGAAACCACTTGCGAGCATAGAAGGTTCCTGGGCAGCACGCAACATTAGTGTTATCGTTGGTCGCCTATCCAGGAGACTTCAAGCATCAATCACCTTCCCCTCTTACTTACCCTCCCCACACACAGTTCAGTAGCAGAGAAATACCTGACAGGCGTGGGGTGGATGACCGTAGCAGATCTACTATCGCCTGAAATAGTGCTTATTTTGCCAGTGCCCGTTTTCAGCGTGTTTAAATCAAGCCCTGAGCCCCCGAACCCTAAGCCCTAAACCCTAAAACCCCTAAACCCTAACCCTAAACCTTACACCCAGCCCTGAACCAAAGGAACCTAACATGGCAGGAGCCACAACCTCGGGCCGTTTCCGCGGTCTTGGTGAGCGCAGGCTGGATTAATGAAGGTTGAAAGGCATCTGGGGTAATATTGGTTTTCGGGTTTAGGGTTTAGAGGCAAAATATCGGAGTGATATAGAGGTAGTATTGGGGTAGTATTGGGGTAATATAGGGGTAGCTTCGAGATAATATTGGGGTAATCTGGGGGTAACATATTGCGTGACTTTGAGTATGGAAAGTGAAGCATGCATGCGTCGAAATGTGTTACTGGTGTGTTTCTGCATCTGCAAAAAAAGCAAAGAAAGGCTGTCCTGTGGAGTCCCCTCCCCCAGATGGGTGAAAGAAAAACGGGAGCCCCCGCTGGCAGACGAAATGCCTGCTTCATCTGGATTTCAAGCGAGGGTTTAGGGTTTATGGGTTTAGGGTTTAGAGTTTAGGGTTTAGATAGGTTGTCAAAACTGTGGTCCCTTTTTTTCTGGGTTTTGGGTAGACAGGGATGAGGGTTTCCAGAAATTGGTACCTGTTATCAGGTTTAAAGTGCATGGGGGTCTGTCTGATATAGGGGATCCCCAATGGCCCAATGCACGCAAACCCCCCAACATGAGTTTAGAAGAAACTGGGTTGCTGTTAAGGAACTTAAATTAAGTTACCATAATGGGTATATATAGTAATTAATGTGGTTCCCCCAATATAGTAACTTAAATTAAGTTCCTTAACAGCAACCCAGTAAAAAGAGCCAAGGCTCCTCGCCCTAGTCCCCTGTCTCACTTCATGCGCAATGAGTTTGGCAGGTGTTACACCGCGCAAGCACTGCAACCCGTCGTGGAGGACCAGATTAGATTGAATGGATGCTGAGGAAATGCGCGCAGGGGCTTAAGGCAATAAAAGATCGTGCGCTTTAAGATATGTGGTTACGCCACGGCGCATGCGCTAAGGCGATTGGATATACTGGGGCAATGTATGGTTTAGCTCGTTTGAGAGAGGTGAGCCCTCAGAGATGTGCTTTAAGTCGCAGAGCCATAAGCCAATGTCACCTTCACCCGATGCAACCGCTGCCCGGTACTGCGAAACCACACTTTTCTTTCTTCGCGATAGAATGAATGCATACAATCTAGACAAACCTAGATGCTGGCAACAGGATGTTCGAGGTGTCCAAGGATCACCAGGTGTCTGACTTCACACAGTACTTCCTGAGATTGGCTGACACTGACATTGAGTTGAACCTGGACCGCCGCTGGAAGAAGCTGCACCGTTCAGGCAGGGTGACGGATCTATGTCGTGCCTCTGCATGCGCGCCGGTCCAATTACTGCCTACTGCAGATCCCTAGGTTAATCTCCCTTGCTGTCTAATACTGCTGTTCAATTCCCCCCTCACTTCAAAAAGTGAGCCACCCCCAACCCCCCTCGAGGTCCCTTATGGGGTGGATATTTGATAATAGGGCGTGGGTGGGGACGTTTAAATCTAGTGTTGATATGAAGGGGATTCAGGTCTGTAAGCCTACACGCAGCCAAAAAATGCACTCATGCATTCCCAAAATTAGGATCCCTTATAAGAGGTTATGTGGGATAGATCGGGAAATTAAGGGTTTGAGGATTCCCCACATCAGGGGTCCTCTTGGAGGGGGGGTCCCTATAATCTGTTTCTGGTATATTGTGGATTTATGAAAACTACCACGGTTTTCACAGCAAGATGGAAGCTGCCCCCCCTAAACATTCTCTCCTGCGTGATCTCAGGGCAAAAGGAGAAATTAGCGGTGAGCTAAACCGAAAGCATATACCCCCTCAAAGCAATAGGTTTCCAGGTTGGGGCAGTAGATTACCGGACCGTTTACCCCCAAACCGACACGGAAGCCCAGCAAGGGCCCTAAAGCACTTATATTATATGCTGTCCTTAGAAATGGGGTCTATATAGGTTTCCATGTTCGTATTCGGGGGCCGCGCAAGCATGGAGGTCGTGATGAGGAGGTTTCCTGGAAGTTCTGGCGCAAACAGTACCTTTGCCTTGCAGAAGCATCTTTGTGCGTAGGCGTTGCAAAGGAAAGATGGGCGCAACCCTGCGCCCTAGAGCCCAATCCCGAAGCTCTAACCCCTACATGCTGAATCCTAAACCCTAAACCCTAAAGGCTGCATAAAGGAGCCTTTACCCTGGAGCCTCATCTATGAAGCCCTGAAGCTTCTCCCTTGAGGGGGGCTTCCTTTGTACCCTTAGGGTTTAGGGGTTTAGGGTTTAGGCTTTGTACCCTTGGGTTTGGGTCCCTAAACTATGGAATATGGCCCTTAATCAGGGTATTTGGGACCCGAAACCTTGGGTCACCTAACCAGGGTTCCAAACATTAAGGGTACAGACTTGAAGTCTTTCACCGCTAAGGGTGCAAGTACCCAATAGCTCGATACCTTGATGGGGTATATAGGGATAGGCAGGGATTTCTTTAAAGTGGATGTATAGGGGCACATAAGGGCATTTAGGGTATCAAGGGTTCAGGTCCAAGTGCCTAATAATTAGATACTTGGGGTGGGGGTAATAGTAATTGTAGTGCAGGCTTTGGTCAAGTATCTGATTACCGAGCACTTGGACCCTTACCTAGACCCTTAAACCTTACCCCTTTTTTAGTTACCTAACTTTACGTCTAGTAAGCCCTATACGGTAAGCCCTATATACAAAACTGGTTACCCTAAAAAGGGGTCGGGTTTAAGGGTCTAGGTAGGGTCTTATCTGAAGCCATGGACCATGTTGGAGCTTGCTCTGGCGGATAAGGTATTCTTTCCGCGAGCAGTATGGAGTGGGACTGGATCCAGAGGATCGGTATAGGGTTTCGGGTTCAGGGATTGGGGCTTTGGGGCTTAGGGTTTAGGGGGTTTGGGTTTAGGGTGTAGGGTTTAGGGTTTAGGGGGTTTTGCTTCAGGCCTTGCTTTATAAACTGTCCTCGCACCAGAATCCCAAATCCCGTAGTACCCTCCACAAGTCAGTTCCTTCAAACCTGATAATGAAGGGGGTGGGTGGCCCTTCTTTTTAATCCAGGGTTCAGGATGCAATAGGGTTCCGGATGTAAGGCTTGTGTGCACAGGGATTCGTGTTGGGGGGGCTTAGAGTTAGAGCCCCAGCACTAAAACATGGGCCCTATGGAACCTCTTGTTCAGATCATTGCTCTATCTTAGATGATGGGAACCGATGTGGCACGTTCCATGCAGCAATGCCGACAATGATGAGCCCGACAAAGTAATAGAGCGCGTCAAGCAGCACAACATAGCTGCACCATGTTTGAAACAGCAAACATCGAACAGAGCAGTAGTATGAACAACAGCAGCCACGGCAAGCACTGACAGGAACCCCTACGCTCTTAAACACGTTCAAAAGCATGTGGCCACGTTGCCGCTGGCAAAAGGCAGCATGCTTATCATGCAGCATTGCCAGTCTCATCGATAGTCGTGATGATCACATACTGTTTGCTTGCTGTCAAGTTGTTGTTCGGTTGTGCTCAGTTATTATGGTTGAGTCTAAGCAAAAGTTTTCACGCAGAAAGCTCCGAAATGTGGCGTTTCGCAAGCTTCCTATGGTTTCGGTATAGTGTTATAGAGTGCTTGATAACCTTACATAGCTGCCCTAAACCCTAAACCCTAAACCGTACACCCTAAACCCTATACCCCACGCATCCCTGGTCACACCCTCATAGAAGCTTGCACATAGGCCAGCCTCCCTGCCCAAGTTGATGCTAGTTCACTGGGTAGGCACCTGAAATATGTAGTAATTTCCCTAATGGCTTTAAGAAGGGACCCTATATACCCCTAGAAGCCCAGGTACCCATATAGTAGGTCCTTGGGTTACAGGTGGTATAGAATTCTATAGGGTCTTAAGGACAGGAACCCAATATGTAGGTAACTGGGCTTCTAGGGTACTAATATTTTTCAGAGGGCTTTAGGGGCCAACCCAGTTCAGGAGCTGGAAGGTTTATGGCTTGCGCTGCAGCGCAAGCCGGCGCTCCTGCGCACCTATGTGGGCCACATGTTCTCTCAAACTGTAGGCCGGGACTTGAAAAAAGTTGTCCCTTAGCGCTGATGGGAATTCTGCAACTCCCAAGAAGCCCTTGAAGTGCCATATCTGCCATGGCTTATCGCAAGATTTCCTGCATTAGCATGACTTTCCAGGTGTTTGAAGTCTAGACGGGGCCCCTTTGTGAGAGTGACTTCTTGGTAGGTGTACATCTTGCTGCTGACAGCCAAAACTATGATGCTGAGGCATTGAACAAAGTTAGGCCGCATTCTGGAGGATTGTAAACATAAGGCCACGGAAGCCAGCTCTCCTAGGGCTATGAGGGTATAGGTTTCACGGTTTAGCTAGGTAAGCGGTCAAGGCTACGGAGGCCATATGCCACATAAGTCTTCAAGCCTTCGTAGATCGTAGAATGATGTTTTCCAGCTGTGAATTGGCGTAGAGGTTTCGGGTTGGTTCAAAATGACGAAGCGACTTATACAGCAAGACCCATGCAGAGGCAACTATGACTACTTCGACTACATTTGTGACGCTGGGCTGTTTATGGCAACTTTTATGTTGCAGCCTGTCATTTCAGTGCGAAAGAAGCCCTAACCCGGTCTGCACACAGGATTGCGTCAACTATGGTTAGCATGAGCAAGAAAATGGTGACCGTGGTGATGTGATGACAAAAGCAGTCCTTGCGTGATGGCAGTCATATTTAATGATGATGGTGAAATAGTTGCATTATTCTTAGGCACATACACTGCCAGTGATTAGACAGTTTTGGACATCTATCATCTATCTCTCAAGATACACGCTTGAAAATCAGCAACTCGGTCCGTTGAAGTGTGAAACTGCGCATGAAGTGTGTCCTCGCCGCAGTTTGTTATCCTCCATAGGGCTAGTTTCCTGTAGTTATTGCAGTGAAGCTTCTTTCGGTACTCCATCATATGCTTCAAACTTCAAACTCATCACCAGCTCCACTGTCCACTTCCACTGCCCTGCTGTGTCCTGAACATTGCATTCCACTTTACCTAGGTACCTTTGCTACTAGTAGTGGTGCTCTTTCTCCTCCTGCTGATGCCGCTGCTGGTGATTCTGCCCGTTACCGTTTCTTCTGCTCCTCATGTTGTGTAGCAATGGTACTCCTAGTTTGGCCTTTTTCTTTCACATTTCTCGCCGCTGCTGCTTCCTGCGTAGTTGACCACGCCTTAGTTGATGCTTCAGGCGTAACAGTTAGACTATAGTCCCCCTGCTATGCGTTCACGCTACAGAGCGCTTAGATCTTCGAGGCTCTTATGCTTTCTCTGAAAAGTCTCATCGTCGGACCCCTTACGGGCTCCGACCCTCAAGTATTGAATGCAGATCTCTAGCCCTAAGGGTCCAAGGACCCAAATGCTAGGGTTTTAGGGCCCAAATACCATTAATATTAGGGTATTTGGGCCCTGAAACCCTAGTATTTGGGTCCTTGGACCCTTATATAGTCCCCTAATATCCCCACATGGTCCCCCTAGAACCCCTTTTAAAGGGATTCCTAGATCCAAGACTTGAGAGGACATGCGCTATCTCGACGCTGCGGAGAACGATGCGTGCTCCGCAAAGGGGGCACTGTTGAAGGTCTGCCCGCCTTTAGTGGTGACGCCGTTGCACCACAATCACCGTGCACGTTCTGGGTATTGTAGTTGGGTATTGTAGTTACCTCAACATCCTTGCATAGTGAAGCTGCTGACGGTGTTCCAGGGTTGGTTGGGTGCTGTAGAGAAAGGTCTAAATGTTTGGTGCTGCTCAGGCGCCTGCAATGGAGTTAGACAAGAAGATGATACCTGTCAAGGTGTAGAGTATCGCCAACAAGCACACAAATTATTTTCGCCAGCATGGCACTCTTGACACTCAATATTAAGGTGGTGCAATCCATGCCACGACATGTTATTTCTATCTTCGCAACCTGCAGCAATCTGCTGTGTGGGCACCACAACAGCTTGTAGTTGAAACGTGCAGTAGTCACTCCGCTTAGAACTTGCAGTGAATGTCTGAGTAATACACGTTCCCAGACCCTGAAACTACAGGGCATGTCTAGCAGATGGCTCGGATAGCCAGTCCCCACAGCCATCCACGCTAGCTCCTATAAATCTAACGTTAGAAGTATGGGCCACTGACATGGGCCCTTAGCCCTCTTAGGGCCTTTTAGAGAGATTGCCGTGACCCTTCAACGTACACATAGATAGGGCATAGAATAGGTATATGATAATGACAGGATTAAAATCCCATACTATGGGCCCATGGTTTTTACATTTAATAAGGCCCACACCACGCTAAATCACCGGACTTGGCGGTAGCTAAGACAGCCTAAAACACATG